ACTATATTTACATTGTCCACAGGAAGTCAACAGATAATGCCTAAAACTGAAAAAATCAAGAGGTAGCAATACGAGATTTTATTCAGATATGGAGGTAAATACCAAAATAATCAGTCAAAAAAGTTTTCGGAGTGTTTGTCTTTAGAGATAGGGGAATGGGAGGTTGTGACAGCCTCCAGCTGTTAGCATCTTCAGGGTCAACGGTAGTTACAAAGAGCTACTTTTGTGCAATATGACACTTCCTGGAGCAACTCATACTCAGAGACTGAGCAAGGTGAGAGGATAAATGTCCAATTATTTTGGTCCAACAGGGCAACTTTGATAGGCAATGTTCTGGAGAACAATCTGTTATAAAGACGTATCTGCTGTTTTTAGTAACAAACCATGTATAAGTAACTGATACTATATAGTTTTTCCCTCTGAAACCGTTAATTTAAAAAAAAAGAAAAGAAACAGACTATTAAAAAATATTTTCTAATTTTATTTGTTTTCTTATGTTGTAGAAGCCAGTGTAATTTAAAAAGTTTAAAACTAATGTATGACTTAAGTTAAAATGTACAGTTTTGACTAGAAGCATGATAAACTGCTGAAATGTAATCTCAAAAAAAAAAAAAGTAAAATAGAGAGTTTGAAGTTTCTATTTTGGTAACAGCAGACTGGATCAACCTTCTTGCTGAGGCCAACAAAAAGCACTTCATAATAAAAAGCAAAGAAATATAGTGCTGTGAAATTACACAGCAAAATCTAGTACAAGGTAAACCAAAGAAATGAGCCACACACCCAGTCACTTCTGTCCTGAGGGCATTTGCCTATCCAGAAGAAAAGTCAAAGCTGGGCACTCAGATAAATCATCCAATTTACACTGAGACTTTAAGGGCAACGTTATCAGGATAAAGGAGAATTGGAAGTAAAGCAGAACACACATGGACTTGCAGCTCTGCTTAATGTCACAATACAATAAAAGAAATCCCAAGCCTTGAACCAGAATTAAGTCATTTGGAACTGGCAGCACCCTTAGGTGTCTTTCAAAAACAAAGGAAAATTCCCTCTTGAGAAAGATACCATCATCCTAGGACTCATGTACTCCTGCAATTTTTCAAATACAACTACCAGATTACAAGTACACACCCACACACAAAAAGACATCATGAGCAAAAGCCAGCAGAAACAAACATATAAATTCAGAAACTAGAATTACCTACCACAGACATAAATTAACTACAAATATCATGCAAATAATACAATAAAAAAGCCAAGACTGAACTAAAAATGGAAATAGATGATGTTTTAAAGACACTGATCCACATATTCAAGAATCCCAATAAACCCAAAGAAGGATAAAGAATTCCACACAAAAACATGATGATAAAACAGCAGAAATTCTAAGATAAAGAGAATACGTTAAAAGACAGATCTCCTTGGAAGCAGCAGAGTCAGACTGACAGCTGACTTCTCAACGTCAATAACAGAGGCCAAAAAATAGTGGAATATTATCTTCAAGGTGTTGAAAAACATATGACTACAAACTTACAATTAAATACTTGCAAAACATTCAAGATTGAAGGTGAAATAAAGACATTATAAAGTACGGGAAAAAAATTAAAAGAGAATTGGCCATCGGGATACTAGCATTAAGGAACTCCTACAAGGTGTACCTAAACAATAGGAAAAGGAAAGATCCTGAAAGAAAAATCAACGATGTAGGAAGAAACGAACAAAGAAAGTAGTAAATATATTGGAACATCTAACACTGATAGTAGAGAACAGCATCGTCCAACAGAAATATAATGCCCCTTACATATATAATTTAAAATTTTCCAGTATCTAAATTAAAAAGTAATATTAATTTATTATAATTTCAACATGTAATCAGAATTAAAAAACCTGAGATATTTTACAGTACGTTTTCATATTAAGTCTCCTAAAATCTAGTGTGTATGTGACATGTACAGTATATCATTAAGTTGGTTAATTTTTCATCAGAATTTGTATTTTTATAAAATTTACAGTTGAGAAAATAAATCACATACTCAAGATGTTCCAAATGTACTTAAAAGTTTTCCAATAGCTGAACTGAGTATGTTTTCAAATTTAACATTAAATAAGATGAAAAATTCAGTTCCTCAGTCACACTAGCCTCATTTTAAGTGTTCAGTAGCCACATGCTGCTAATGGATAATGTATGGGATAGCACAAGCACAGAACATGATTTCTGCAGTTAAATCTTGAAGTAAAACACAGACAATAGAAAAACTGCAAAAGACTTAAAATGGCAATTTAAAAAAAAATCCAATTGTCTAATAAACTTTTAAAAGGTGCTCACTCTCATAAACAGGGCAGTGCAAATTAAACAACAGTAAGATAAAGCTACATTCATCAGGTTGGCAAAAATGAAAAAGCATCAATGATTGATGAGAATGTAGAAATAAAGGGAACTCTCATACACTACTGGTGGGAGTATGAACTGGTGCATCTGCTTTGGAAAACTTTGGTAAAATCTAGTGAAGCTGAAGACAAACACATACACCCTACAAAAATGCATGTTTATGTGCATAAAAATATACGTATAAGAACACTGACAGCAGCACTGTTTACAAGTGCTAAATACTAGACATAATCCAAATATTCATCAGCATTAAAAACAACAACAAAAAAATCTGTTGCTGTTGAGTCATTTCTGACTGATATTGATATCCCATGTGTTACGCAGTAGAATGGCTCCACAGTGTTTTCTTGGCTGTAATCTTTATAGAAATAGATTGCCAGGCCTTTCTTCCATGGTGCCACTGGGTGGGTGGATTCGAACGACCAAACTTAGGTTAGTAGTCGAGGGCAAACCGTTTGTGTCAACTAGGGGCAGAATCAACTCAACAGCAACTAGTCGCCAACATTAACCAAAACCCACTGCTGCAGAGTTGATTCCAACTCATAGCAACCCCGTCAGACAGAGTAGAACTGCCCCACAGGGGTGCCAAGGCTGTAAATTCTTATGGAGGCAGACTGGCATGTCTTCTCCTGCGGAGCAGCTGGTGGGTTCAAACGGCCCACCGTTTGGTAGGCAGCTGAACACTTTAACCACTGCTCCACCAGAACTCCAGTTCATCAGCATTATCCACCCACTGCCGTCGAGCTGATTCCGACTCATAGTGACCCCATAGCGTTTCCAAGGCTGTAAATCTTTACAGAAGCAGCCTGCCACATCTTTCTCCTACCAAGCTGCTGGTGGCTTTGAACCACCAACCTTTCAGTTAGCAGTTGATTGCTTTAACCACTGCACCACCAGGGCTCCTTTCTCCAACATCAGACTGGTTAAAGGAATTTAGGCTTACTCACAAAAAGAATTAATATACAATAATTACTATACTGCACAACAAAAGCAATGAAAATATATGAACAACTGCTTAGTAACAGGGTTAAATCTTAGCAACATCCGAGAAAAAGGACATGAAATGATAATGTATAATTCCACTATATTTTAGGAATACCAGCATAAGTGGTTAAAAGAAATAAATCAGAAGGAAAAGCAGTAAATACCATAAAAATCAGGATAGTGTTAACCTCTGGGAGGGGTGAAGAAGAGGAAATGATCAGAAATGGATGAAGGGAGGAGTGATTCTCAGGCGCCAGCAATGTTCTAGCTCTTGGCTGTGGTAGTGGTTAGAGCGCTCACTTTATAATTGTTCATTATACTCCACCTTCCATGTGTTGTGCACTTTTCTCCATATGCAGTATTTACCACAAAAAAAAGATCCCAAAAATTTTATCTTAGGCACTTTAACTGCCTTGCTATAATTATTTTGTTACAAATTGGTAGGTATTTGTTTCACTAGAGAAAAAAATTTAAGGCACAGCATTCTGATTTTGATTCCATCTAACATGATTACTGTACATCCAGAAAGAAATACAAGATGATGATAAATAGGACTCACTGCCAAATATATAGGAAGTCAAACTCAGAAACAACTTTAATTGATAGCATAGTCCAAAAGACCCATTACAGAATTAAACAACATCACACGATAAACACGAGGAAGTTTAGATGAAAATCTTTCAAAGTATCTTTACAAAAGAAGACATCTGAAAGATGTGAAAATGCTTTTTGTTAAGATGAACAGAATGTGAAAAGAACAGTGTTATTTCACAACAAAACTTTATTAATCTAAGTGTATGAATTCTTTCTTAAATATTTTTAATTCTGTGTTCACATCAACTCATTATTTCCAGCAAAAATACGTAGTATTTAATTGAGAAACCAAAGGCTTAAAATCCAAGACCAGTACCCAAAAAAACTTGAGACAAAATACTTTAAAATATGCTATTTACACTAAACCTTGATGATATCGCTTCTCTCTTTACCAACAATAAAACTTATTATCTAGGACTACATAATCCCATGTCCCTCTCTGAGAACAGGCATAGGTTTTGTGTTGCAACAGCAACATAAAACGTGGAAGGAAATCCTTCCACTCAAGACTTCCCTGACTGCTTCTTCCCTCAAGCCACTCCAGAATTTCAAGGAGGGTTGCGAGGTAAGGACTGAAGGCCACAATACATAATACAAGCAATGCATCTGGTGCCAAAAGCTGGTCAAAATTCATATACGGGGTTTGTCTCCGTCCCTGGACAGGTCCCCTGCCCCGAGCTGAGAAAGCAATTACTAGTCACCGGCAGAGGTTCCATAGATCCCATTTCTTACACCTAACCATCACGTTCCTCATCCACCACCGGGTGTAGTCGTCACCCTGCCGTAAATCTACAGTCCTCAAGACTCCCTGCACTCGTCAGAGATTCGTCTGCGGCCTCACGGTGAAGCCACGAAACAGAACGAGCCCGCCTGGTCCTGGCCTGTGTGGCCTAGACAAGCCTGCCCCATTCCCGCATTCCCAGTATCCACAGCCTTCCATCCTCCCCTTTCGATTCGTCTTTCAACACTGGCGTCCCCGGCCTTCGTTCTGAGGCCAACGTATCCCAATTCACCTCTCGCAGAAAAGCCTGCTTACCAGGGCAAACACGGGAATGCAGCGACCGCAGAAACAGTTTCTCAAGCTCGCTGACCGTACTTAGCTTCGGCTTCACCTGCGAATGCCAACAACACGCAACCACTCCCGACTTGCCCCGCGCACGCACCGCCTCTCCCACCCCGCCCCCTTCACGCCCAAACACGTGACCTTCCATCGCCTCTGTCCACGCCCACTTCCGTTCCTCCACTTTCCCTTAGGAGGGAGGAGGGGGCTGGGGGAGTTAAAGAGTAACGACTTCTTCCTCCCCCCCGCCCCCGCCCCCCTACCGTGCTACAATGTCTTCCGGGTCACAAGCGCCTCTGCGCCTTCTGGGAAACCATCTCATTTCCTCCCCTCCCCCTCCTCCTGCCCTCAACCAACCAGCCTCCCGTCAGAGAGGGACATGCGCAGTGAGTGCCTCCCATCTCTTCTACCCGAACCCCCCCTCCCCCCCAAGCAGAGAGACCCCAGCAGCAGCAGCAGCTGATGATGAAGAGAGAGGCAGTGGCAGAGGGGGGGCACCTTTTATTTCTATTTTTAAAGGGACAGGACACTAATTTTACCGCACTTCAACCTTGAATTGAGGGGGGTGGGGGGAAGGCGGCTGAGTTCCTTCCCCCACCCTCCAGCCCGGAGCCCTGAGAGGGGGATTGAGCCTGAGAGAGAAGGAGAAGGAGTTTCTTCTTCTTCGAAACCCCCCATCCTACCCCCTCACCCCTCCACTCGCCTCCCTCCCGAGCCCCCTCCACCCTCCTCCTCTTTGGCCGTGAGAGGAGGAGAGAAAGAGACCAAAAGCCTCTTAGCAACACAGACCCTTCTCTGCTGCTGCTGCTGGCTGCTGGCTGCTTGCTGCTGCTGCTGCTGCTGCTGGCTGCTTGCTGCTGCTGCTGCTACTGCTGCTGCTTGGCCCTGGCTGGAGACATCTCACTACACCCAGGAGCAGCCACTTCCCCAGCTCTCCTCCTCCTCCTTCGCCTCCTCCTCTACTCCCCCCCTTTATTACCCTTTGTGTCATCCTCCACAGCTCCAGGGAAGGGACTCAAAAGTGGGGGGCAGGAAAGGTAAGTGTGTCTGTGGGGGCTTCATTGCCTTCCTCTGGCTCTGACTTTCACTCCGGGGCAACAGTAGCACCAAACCACAAACGCAGTGGAGCTCGGGGGTGCGGAGGGGGTGGTGCTGGGGGGTGAAGGAGGGGTTGGAGTGGGGAGGGGTGTGTGAGGTGGGGTGCCCATCCTGTCAGGGGAGGAAGGGCACTTTTATTTTTATTTGCTGTTGTCAAAAGTGGTTTCTCTTCTCTAGCTAACATCTGATTGTGTCTTGCTCCAGTGGGGGAGAATACAAAAACAACCCCCTCCTTCCTCCAATGAGGCGCCAGGGAAAGAGACAGAAAGATGCACACTTTCTAGATGTCACTTAAAAAAATTCATTTGGGGAGATTTTTCTTTTTCCTCAGGAAAAGCTCCACTGCATTTGTTTCTGAGTAGGAAAATGTCGGGATCTGGATTGTACTGAAACTGGTTATCCATTCGTAGACCTGAGTGTTTTCCCCTTTTTAGTCCTCTATGTGATTTGGATATTGACTTCAGTGTTGGAACAGACTTAATTGTTTTTTGCTTTGGGGTTTAATTTTCCATTTTTTCGTTTTGTCTCAGTTGCATAGAAAATTTCAGAATTTTAGTTGATTGAGGCCTTTGGTTAGATTTTGACTTTTATATTGCATTTTGTGTTATGTTTACATATTTCATATATCAGTATATAAGTTCAAACCTCAAAATACTTGAAGTTTAAATACCACTGGTATTTTTTTTTTCAATATACGTTCCTGATACTTATTTTCTGTAAGATGAGAATATTAGTTATTTCATAATTAATCTGGTAATTTTTCTAATCTTTGTAACTTCTTTGAACATGTAATCGCCATTGAAAACTTTATGTTGTTCTGGCTTCATGGAATGCCAAACCTCTCCATCAATAGTTTGCTGGAGTGGTACCACTTTCAGTTTTAACTGAATTATTTATTTACTGTTGTAAATTGAGATGAGTTTTTCATCTCATGGGGTACTGAACCAAATTGCTCACTGTACGTGAAAGACAAATTTCTAAAATATGATCATGAGTAAAACAAATCATGAAGTTGTAGTTAGTATACTGTAGTTAGATATGAACTAAAAGATAAATCCAGATTTAAGTTTATAGGATAACAATCTTCATAAAAATCACTGTTCTCCATTTTTACATGATATATTCTTAGTGAATGGCTTTCATATTTAGTGTCACATTTTATTTCACAAATACTAGAAAGTGTGTTTCTGATGTAGGCCTTTTACTGGGGCTTATATTGGAAAGTGTTATTTTGTTTCATACATAAATTTCTTTATCCTTTCCTTGAGGATGGATGCATATATGCATATATACCCACACACACACTCTCTCTTTCTCTGTCTCACACACATACAAACACACATTCTCACACCCTTTTTTGTAACTGCATTGGTATCTCTGATCCCATAATTTATGTCAGCAAAAAAAATTCCTTGTAAAGCAGCAATTTTGTGATCAGACTGGCAATATGAAAATAGTTTGATCAACTAGAAAGGATTGAAGAAAAATAAGTCTAGGATGATATTTAACATAAATATTATAAAGACATGATAATACTTTTATTTTTTTTTTGTTTTCTTGATGAAAATGCCAAGATACAATGTACTCATTCTAGTAGCAGAATAGCAATGCATATGTAGAAACTTATTCTGTAAAATTGTAGTTACGAACTGTGTGCAAAAGTAGACATTTACACACAAAAAAAAACTGTACAGCAGTAATCAATATGATCTCATTTCTCTCCTTTCTGTTATAAATTTAAACAGTTCTTATCTTTCTCTGAGGTGTAATTGGTGAACTTAAGCAGAAACCTCTACCAAATTCAAGTTTTTCCACTACATCAATACTACTATTCTAAGTCCGCTTAGGATTTCTTGTTTTCATCTTAAAACCACAGTAACTTTAACTTAGGAGATAAAAAGTAGAACTTAGTGAAGAAATCAATTTTAAGTAAAGCAAATTATATAGCTAATTGGGGGTGGTTTAAGATAGTTGCTTAGTATGCAGCTAAGCAGAAACTTGCAGTCTTGAGTCTAATACCTTTCCTTAGTTTCCGTTTTCCTTTGGAAATATTCCTTATCTCATTCCCACCCTCCCCCAAGGGTAACCCTTTCTGGTTTGATGATTTCAGACTTTCTCTAAGTTGGATAATGATTTACGTTTTAGAAAACTCTTTATTGTGTTTTTATTATTGCTTAATTTTTAAGCATTGAGAACTATTGATATTTTAGGATTGTACTTTTTCAGCTAGGTACGATCTTGGAGGTCACTTTATCCAACTCTTCATTTTCCATATTCTGAGGTTCAGAGAGCTTAAAAGACTTGCCCAAGCTTCCATGGCCTGTAAGTGAACAGAGCAGGGACCTGAACTCAAGTCTCTTGACCATCACTGTGTTACACTACCTCATTTTCATTTGTCAGAAATGAAACTACTGCAATTAAGGGTATATATGAAGGCATATTCTTCTAATAATATTAAGGGAAATAGCTCTAAAACCGTAATTGTGTCCAGATTATAATATAGTAATTTATTGGTGATTTTCTTTAGGAAATACCAATTTTACCCATTGTGGATTAGTGCTTTTTTGAGAATCATTTCAGCTTTCTTAATGCTTACTTTATCTCTTGTACTTCCAATTAATAAGTAAATATACTTCTTACTCATAAGGAGCTATATTTATAAGAAGAAAATAGACTGCCTAATGTATTGCAAATGTTTATTTCTGAGTCTTCCCTTATGAACTATTTAAGGAAAAAATTGTTGTCTTGTTATCATTTATATCTGTCACTCCTAGCATAGTGCTGGTGCATAGTAGGCTCTATTGGTTATTTGTCATAATACTTTTTAGTTTTAGAGTTAAGTGTATTTGAATTTATTTTCTCACATATACGGGATTCTCTCCATTTCCTCCTTTTTCCTTTCCTTCCTTCTCCAATTTCTTCACTAATTTGAATTTTTTTTCTTTACTGCTGCTCTCCCTTTTTCCAGTTAATAGCCAGATTAAATTCTGTTAACAATATATTACTCGTAAGATATGAACACATACAGTCTCTTCTCATCCATGTACAGGATATATTTGACAAAAGTGATGTATTTTGAATAAGGGATGATCAAAAAATTTCATTTAAAAAGATAGTAGCAGATGTTCAGGATACATTTAAATTTCATTTCATTAGTGACTAGTGCAGTAATAGGTTATTGGAATTATTAGGCCACTTTTACCAGCTCTATGAAGCAAGTATTACTTAGGTGACATGTTTCCCTGACTTCATTTTTTGGTCCTTACGCAGACAATTATCAGCTTTCCAGTTTTCTATGGATGTGAAGAATTACCCCTAGTCATCAGTGGGACCCAATGAAGTCAGCCAGAAAGCTTATGTCCAGCTAATGTACCTTTGTAAACTTGTCTGGATTTTGAATGTATGTGCAAAAACAAATTGTGTTTAGCTGTATATTAAACATCTTTTGAGCACCTACTGTCTGCCAGACACTGTGCTAGGCAATTGAGAAACAAAGATGGTCCCTGCAGTTTAATGAGGAGCCCTGGTGGTGCAGTGGTTCAGCGCTCGGCTGCTAACTGAAAGGTTGGCAGTTCGAACCCACCAGCTGCTATACAGGAGAAAAATGTGGCAATCTGCTTCCGTAAAGATTACAGCCTTGGAAACCCTATGGGACAGTTCTACTCTGTCCTGTAGGGTCACTATGAGCAGGAATTAACTCGATGGCAGTGGATTTGGTTTTGGGTTTGGCCGTTTAATGTAAATAGATATCTTAATTTTATTCCAAAACTGTATTAGTCATATCATTATGTTGATGTTTCTACATAAATAGAGTTTATTAATTAAGTGGGTATTGCTAGGTGTAGAAATGCATGTTAAGAAGGTTATTGCTGTATTTAATTAAAACACAAACATAAAGAAAAATTTTCCACTCAATACTGTACTCTGGGGAATTTTGTTATATATATAGTTCACTCACTT